TTAATAAATTATAGTAGGGGTGTGCGATAGACTTACCTCCACGTGGTGCACCCTGGGCAACGTATACTCATACGGCAAAAAAGTCTATTAACCGGCAAATGACTTCTGGCTTCTAACTACCACGACCCCCCCCCCCTGGTTGTCATATTCGACTCCTTCCACAGTATTCCCCTTACCTTTTTCTCTACCTTTGTGTCCGTCTATCTCTTTTACATCTGTGAATCCCTCTTCTGTTCCCCACCCCTCGACTTTCTGCTACTTTGATGAACCTTCCCTCTGTGAAGCCCGAAGCCAGCTAAATGGCTAATGATATCTATCAAAACGCCTGCCATTTGAAATAAATAAATAAATTATAGTATAAAGGTTATCTTTTCTTACCTGTTTAATGGCCTGTCCTCTAGATATTAAAGATTACGTGAAAAAGTTAATTAATTAACAACCACATTCATTATTGAATAAAATAAAGCATGATTTTTTTCTTGAGACCGTTGCTTCAATTTTCAGAGTTTCAAACCCCCTCCTAATGTAAAAGAATCCCTTTTATGTAAAAAATTAAGAAATTAGAATTCATAATTTAAAATATGCTAAGTGAAGAGTTTAGTTTTGAGCATCTCTGCTAATAATTCAGACTATTGTCACTTAAGAGTAACGTATTACACACTAGTAAGCCTTACTTGAAATATTCTCAGTAATCTCTATGGCAAGATGTCGAATTTCGAATGGCTCTCAGGATTAGTTAGGCTTCTTCAAAGCTATAGAGGAAACTGTGGGAAATGTCATCGCATGCCCGCACGCCAGGATTGGGAGGTGCGGACGTACAACTCTGTGTGCAGTGACTGTACAAACAGTAGCCAATCAGTAGCCTCCGTTTGTTTAACCTAATCCGCCAAGCTGATCGTGACTAAGCTCCCTGCGTGTGCATTTGATCCACGATATACCTACTGGGTAGGCGTGTTTCGTGCTAGTTTTGGGTCAGGCTTTACTAGTATAGCAATCCGCTACAAATTGGTGACCCTGACTTGATTCAGGCCTGACTGCATCCACTCAGCAGTAGTACAAACTTTCTTTGGTGTCGCGATTTTATTCGATCACTCGATCTTACTCGAACAACCAACCTTCATTCAACTCTCCCGTCGTCCTCTCTTACATCATAATGTCTGAAGAAACTACATCAACTCTTCCTTTGGGTATCCTGAACATCGAGACTCCTTTTTCTCTCGGTTAGAAACCAAGAGGAGTGACAAAGACCTGGTTTCATTATGCCCTTAGCGTCCCACCGGATACAATCGGGACTCAATTCAAAGAGCTTGTAGCGGATTGCTACCTTAGTAAAGCCTGACTGATTCAGAAATCCACGGATTGCTACCTTAGTAAAGCCTGACTGATTCAGAAATCTCTGTGGCAGACTCTCCAACATCTAGCTAGACTCCCAGAACTAGCTAAGATACGGCCCAGCTATGAAGGAAACAGACGTACAGCACGGAGCACGTTTATTCAGTAAGTATCTTGTGAGCAAAGTGTACACGCAGGAGGCTTAATCATGATCAGGATGGCGGTGGCACCTCCCAATCCTGGCGTACATGCATGCGATGACGTGTCCCACAAGCTAACATCCGCGTCGCCAGATAATAAATCCTATGAACGACTAAAACGCGATCACCAACCGCTTTTATAGGCCTCCAAAGAGACGTTTACAACTTCTTTTCTCGCAGAACAAGCTCGGGGATCGTTCTCTATCCGAATTACAGGCTCCTTAGCCTGTGGTTTGGAGATGACGTATCAAGTTCTTAAGGGGTTTTGGTTGAATTGCCTATCTAAAAACTTGGTTACGTCAATATTGACTAACCCATTCCAGGACAATCGGAATAAGTTATCTGAGATGGCACATCGGGTTTATAATCATCTTGACACAACCCAAGTGTTAACGCCGTCAAAACTTCAACTGCTCCTGAGACAGTTACGCGACGACTTGATGACCTCACGGAACAGTTCAAAGAATTGAAGGCACTTATATCAGCCCCCTCTTCACGCTTCAACGGACGGCATCCATTTTCACATAGAAGGCGTCGGAGTCCATCAGTGCACGATGACACAATTTGCTACTATCATCGAACCTATGAGGACAGAGCCAGGAGATGTAGGTCTGGATGTTTATACGTGAATATCAAAGCACGTAGCCCGTTGAGGCGACTGAGCCTGGCCATTTCCACAGTCGTATCTTATATGTGTTAGACAGGAATTCTAAACTTAGATTCCTGGTTGACACCGGTCAGCGTTTTTCCTCGGTCCACAGAAAAACGCTGCCTGCAAGCAACTGGAGATTCCCTTCTAGCGACCAACAACTCAAGGTTCCGCACCTACGGCCTGAAGCTCCTCAACCTCGATTTAGGACTTCGCCGGGGTTTCCACTTCGTTTTCCTCATTGCAGATGTCCGAAAACCTATTATCGGCGCTGATTTCCTCCCCGAGTTCCGATTATTAGTCAACCTCAGTGACAGCGCCTTACATGTTTACGTTTCCCACAATTGGTGGCCAGAGAGATCAGCACCTCAACGGCACCCCAACGCTCTCCTTTCACTGACTATGACTCCCTCAGAACGCATTTGAAAACAGACAAAAGCCTACCCTTACAGGTTCCCAAAACTCCAACTTAATACTGCGTTTCAACCGGCATGCCGAGACCAATTGTCAGGCAAGCACACGCCGGATGATTTCGACCATGGATTGCCGCAATCAAACATCCGTTCAACAAGAACGATGATCACCGATCATTGCCTCTGGAGAAACACCCAAGAGGACGCTCGTCGGTGGACCAAATACCTTCTCAATCGCCGGCAAGGTCCACAAACATGCACGAAATCCACAATCCTACTGCCTCCAACTCCAACAACCCCGTCTTAGCAGCTCCAACAACTGCCCCACCCTACCCCGAACCCTGTTACATTAAGGCCGAAGATCTACCTTTCTCAACTAGTTGATTTTGTACATTAACTAATTATCGAGCGTTTTCTTTACCTTTCAGCTCCCTACAAACGCTCTAGGGGTGAAGTATTGTCTGAAACGTCATTGCTTAACGCCAGGATTGGGAGGTGCGCCGTACAACTCTGTGCAGCGACCGTACAAGCAGTGGCCAATCAGCAGCCTCCGTTTGTTTAACCTAATCCGCCATCCTGGCCATGATTAAGCTCCCTGCGTGTACACTCTGCTCACAAGATACTTACTGAATAAAAGTGTTACGTGGTGTACGTCTGTTTTATCTATAGCTTAGCTTGTTTTGGGAGTCTAGCCAGATGTTGGAGAGTCTGCCACGGGTTTCTGAGTCAGTCAGGATTTACTAGTGTAGCAATACGCTACAAAACCGAGGTATGGTGCGGAATAAGCTTATTCTGTCTGTCATTGACATGGAGCTTAATCTTCATTCTGCAATGAAGGGTTTGTTAGGCAATGCAGGGATGGCTGGTTGAAAGGTCCATGCGCTGAAGACGCATCTTCTCCCTACTTGTAAAGCAGGGTGGCCGCACCTTGGGTTCTTTCTGAGTTCGCATGGAATTACTTTGTTCAGCTGTGACAGTGTGAGCACTTCTAAAATATCCATGAAATAAATTTTAATTGCAATAAAATAATCCATTTGATTTTGAAACAATATTAGAATTGCGGATTTTGAAATTTTGTTGTATTTTGAATAATGCACAAGTCATATTTTTCCACTCTCTTCATATACCTATAAGAAATAACCCCGTGAATTAATAGAAAATTAGTTTTCATATTTGGACCAATACAAAAAATTTGCCATTGATATAAAATAGAGTTGGGTTACTATGTTCATTCCGATTGACTCATCTTTTCATCATATTATCAAATGTCTACTGGATTTAAAAGTATGCGTCTTATCGATTATTCATTTCCTGATTTTCAGGATTTCCACCACCAGTTTTGTTAGATAATTTAATGCAATTACTCCATCTATTATTTTCATTTAGCTAAATATTAGATCTTCTTTAAACTCATTCATCTCTTTAGTCATATAGTTGACAGAGCCTTTGGTAATAAGACAAGAAATTTAATTTGAAAAAATCTAAAACGTGTTGGCCGTTCCTTTTCTATGCTCTCAATTCAGGTTCTGATAGCATTAAGATACTTAAAAATTTGCCGAAACTAGAAGACAATTTAATTAAAATATTACTAGTCGGAAATATTTAATCAATATATCTGCGACCATTATCGTATCAATGCTCTCGAAGAGAAACTACTCTCATACGCTAACTTTGTTTATAATAAAATTACATCAGGCTTTACCCATGAATTCATTCAAAAAACTCTCCAGTCTTCTAAAAGACGACCATTTATCTTTCATTTTCACAATCTATTTAACAATGAATAGATCCTAGTCCAATATATCCGGTATTCTTTATTTTCTTATCCGACAGCATTTAATCTTAGTTTGTCAGCAATAAATAAAACCTGTGACGTATGGTTAAATTGTTTCCAAAAATTGTTACCGAATATCTGAGTTCGAACTGTAAATCCATAACAAATGATAAGCGGTGCGTATCAGCAAGTAACCGGACTTATTAAAGAAAAGTATATTAACATATGTCTAAAGATTCAGTAAATCACAAATGTAGAACGGTGAATAATTTATAATAGCAGCAATAATTGAATTGTACCATCATTGATATATTTGTAACTATCATGTAAAATAAGTGTTCGAAATGGAAGCTAACAATTTAAATTTATTTGAAAATACAAAAGGCAATTTTTGTAATTGACTTTTAAATGTAGGGTAATTAACATTTGAGATTTATATTATCATTTATTAATAAATAGCAAATTTACAAAAGAATAATGAACAGAATGTTGTACTACTTAGGAGTTCTTAATAAGTGCAGATTTGAGATGGATCATGAATCTTACTCCAAGTAGATCAAGAATTAGATATAAAGATACTAATATAGAATATTTAGAAGATTTTGAATATAAGGTGATTGCGCTTTATTATTATTTAGAATAGGTTAATGATGCTTCCTCAAATTTCTTCACGTACCTTTCATGAATATAATGAAAACAGTAAAGCAGTTAATATAAAATTATATTGTTCTTATTGATTTTGAATTCCACTATAATTTTACATAATGTTTTAAATGTAAGAACCAGTGATTGAATAGTATATATGCCGATGTCCTTAAGGATTTTTGTTATAAATAATTTTGCAAAAAGGCAGTTTTTTAAAGGTAATATAATCGCCTCACAATTGGTGAGTTCATTTCTGCCTCTCATTGGCTACATCCAATCGGGTTACTTTTTAAGTTTTCGATGCTCCGCTCATTTAGGTTTCTTTGAGTTATGCATTACTGCTAATGGATCAAATTAATTTAATAAAGGTAGGCTTCATCTAGATTTATTATTAATTTATCCTCCCTTAAGGTACTTGTTGTAGTTACAGCATTTCAGTCTATTCTGATACCTGCATTTTCTACAAATTCTTCAAAGCTTCCCATTACCTGCCATTTTAAACTTGAACAGGACGTAAGAATAAGTAAAGATCTCCTGAATAACCTTTCTGAAAGCTGCACTGAAATCTCCATAATTTCTACAGACGCCGCAAGTCGGATTATTGATGATGATGCATTCCAAAAATTTTCCCATCTAACGTCCCTTACTATTCAGGCTAATTTGTCAACCGTGGAAAATTACCTGTGGTTGCAAGTACTTGGGGGGTTGGAATACCTGAATCTTTCCCATTGTAACATTAAATTTCTAAATACAGGTGATTTCACCTCAGGATTTCCTAATCTTCGAGTTGTCGATCTCAGTCATAATTCCATGCCATTCATCTTCTTACCTTTCCTATTCAGTACTCCAAAGCTTGAGCACCTCAATCTTTCTTCTAATTCGTTTCGGAGCTTTCCTGATATTTCTTATTCCCTTCTCTCCGTCAATTTTTTAAATAACCCTCTAGAATGTACCTGCACAAATGTCGAATTACGAGATCGGGGTAATTTCTTAACTTCTGGCTATAATTGTAGTCTATCTCCTTGCCCATACTACCTGACTTTTAATACTCCTATTCCAACTCAAAATATCTCGCCCCTTGTTTCTGAGAATTTCAACGTCTCTTGTCGTGTTAATTCGTCAAGAAATTTTAGACTTGGCATCTTTTCTCCTATTGGATTTATACCTGAACCCTCATATGATGATAACTATAATGGTTCGCTTCAGTCTACTTACCAATACACCGTGTTACCTGTACAGCAACCAATACATATAATCGTTCAAAGATCAGAGTCATCACTGTTAGCAATAATTAATTATGCTCGAGGTCATCATACTGGCGTGTGGCGATGTGCCGCTCTCTCCGAAGGTGGCCTTTTCCTTGATAACAAGACCCAGTTTGTTATCATCAGTACGGGTATTAGGAAACTTTTCCTTCGCACCACAATTCTCGGTTTTATTGTCATGGCTATTACGTTGGTTCTAGGACTCATTATTGGTGGATGCCGGTATTTAATTGAGACTGACTGCTTTAGGCAGCCTCAAACACACAATTATGTCGTCCGACCCCTAATTGGTGTCATTCCAGTTCCAGCTATGGACCCTATTGATACATTTGTTGAAGACATCCCTATTGATCAAAGAATTTGCTCTTCATGTATGACAAAGCCATACTTCTTTTGTGGCTACTGCAATGATCATCACCTTTTCTCCAATTTTGTGGCTAGACGAAGTGAAGGTGCTATCCCAGTGATTCCGCCTCCCTCTTATATTGAAGTCTCGCCTGACAATGTCACTGTTAATACTTCAAACATTCAAAATGTTGATAAGGAGGAAGAAGAGGAGGTAAATGATGATAGAATTGAAGTGATTTCTCCTAAAAATGACCGACAAAACTCTCACGGAAAAGTCTCCAATTATGCCTTCCCCTCCGAGTTCTGCCACTGTCATCATCTTGAAGTTCGTTTCACAAATGAGGGTGAGGTGCAAGCCTCTGCTACTCTACGTGATGTAAAATTGATCTGTGAAGATGAACAATTGGCCCAAGAATACACAGAAGTATTGGAAAGACTCCAAGCTGCTGCTAAATCAAATGATCCTGTTACCTTCAAAGTCCGTCTAGATGAATTTCGTGGACGGTTGGTCCATGACGTTGGTAGAAGAGTAAGAATTGCGCGGGAAGGGATTGTGGCATTCACAGAACGCTCAGCAAGATCTGTGGCACGTCTACGGGGTCAAGGTGGTGTTGTAGTGGGGTTTATGAAGGCTGGACTCTCTCAAGTCCGAGATGGAATGAGGAGTGTTGCAGAAATGTGCACTGGTGGATCGGATGAGAGTACTGAAAGTGTTGCTGATCCCGTGGAGACTATAGGGCAGTCAATATCTGTAGTTAGTATTTACAAAGACGGAACTACCAGGAAAACGAAAGAGAGATTTGTCTCTAATTTTAAGTTCTGATCAAGTTTTCTACTTCATTTTCTCAATTACTATTGCCAATCGTCTTTCGGAGTCTTTCTCGTGAAATGTTTAATGAAAGGTGGACTGTTGGCATGCAAGCGACTGGATTCGCTGTGTGCAGCAAGACTTTTCCGTTCTAAACCAATACGTTTCTTCTGTGAAAGTCTCATTCTTTTTTTAAATTATTTACTATTTGTTCAAAATTGTATTGTCATTTTACTTGTGGGCATGGGGTTATAATTGACTAATTAAGTATATATCGGTGTTGTGACTAGAATACTTAAGAGGAAATCACTTTATGTGCACGTGGGATTTCTAGTTGTCCTTTGTGAAATATGTGCGCATGACTGTAATGAACACCTTGTGATTATAATCAGTACTTGACAAAGTATGCAATCTTGTCGGTGTTGCTTTTATGCCGCTTAGAGTGAATGAGGTTTGGTGGCTTCAGCCGTATGCAGGGCGCGTTCGCCGTAAATGAATTCGATTTTGACTGAACTTAAAAGAGAGAAAAGAGATCATTCTTACGCTTATCAATAAGACTTTAAAGTAGATCGCTTATTAACAGAAGCATTTAGGAGGAGGTTGATAGCTAAGGTGTCTCGTATTCTCCTAGCTACTTTCAGTCCGCGGGGCTAATGAGAAATATCTTAAAGTCCACCATTTGATATAATAATAATAATAACTTTTCGGCCCTAATTTCCATTTTCTACCAATTGTCGATAGTGTAGAATAGTAAGGAAAGTTAGTGGTTACGCCTAGGACCCGCGAGAGAGAGTAAGATTGTTTTTGTGTAGCGAAATAAAATAAAATGTTGCCTATAGCGCTGAATTTAGGAGAAGGGGGAGGCAAGCTTTCAGGGCAATTGAGAAAATCAAGGAATCAGGAAGGTATTAGTGTTTACAGGTAGAGCTCTGGCAGTGCACTTTTGTGTATCAGTCAATATAAATGGATCAGCTGAGTAATTAGGGTTAAACCATGACAACAATGATGTTCCCAAAACACGCTGAGTGGGTGCACTAGAAATGATCCACCGGATTGATTGGGCGTTTCCGAACTCTAGTTAATATCCACGAGGAAGGCATTTTTATAAAAAGTAGCTAATATCACATTTGTAAATGACCATTTTCGCTACTTAGGTTAGAAAATTCGAAACCACACTAATCTGTAATTAGATTAAATAGTTTAAATGAAACTTTTGGTTTATTCCCTATGCATTGAATTATTAATTTATATCAAATGGCAGGCTTTATGATAGTTATCATTAGCCCTTTAGTTGACTTCAGGGAGGGGGGGGGGGGGGAATAGAAGAGTGTTTCAAAGATGTAAAAGAGACAGACGCAAAGGTAGAAAAAAGGTGAGGTGATTACTGTGGAAGTAGCCGAATATGACATACAGTGGGATGGGTCATGGTAGTTTGAAGTGAGCAGTCAACTGCCAGTTAATAGACCCTTTTGCCGTATGAGTATACGTTGCCCAGGGTGCACCACGTGGAGGTAAGTCTATCGCACACCCCATGCATTGAATCATCGATCACTGAACTTCTAAGCTTTCACTTGAATGTACAGGACCTCCACTGGAACAATTTTCACCTAACCAGGCAGTTACTCAACTGCCCATTCGATAAATACCAAGTTGTTTCCTTAAAAAATCAAGTATTTAGGCTACTGATTTTCCAAATTCTCAGCAGAGTTTGGGAAGTTGTGGCTCTCTAAAATGATCAACTGAACTAATTCTTATTAAATCTAATTTGTTCTAATGTTTGTTTGTGTTCGGTATAGTGGATGTGAAGACTTTTATATTTAATCCATTTCAAATAAATGGCAGTAAATGGTACAAAAGTTATCCGAAGTCAATATTGATTGGAGCGATCGTTGGCCAATCAATAAATAGCCAGTGATCTTTGTATGTGACTGTTATTATACGAGTCATGTTCTGGAGTGGTCCATCTCCCAATTAAAAGTTTTTACCACTTTCGTCTTAAATCAATTAACCGTTTCCACATATTTATATCAAATGTCAGGCTTCATGATAGTTATCATTAGCCCTTTACCTGACTTCGAGCTTCACAGAGGGAAGGAACATCAAAGTAACGGAAAGTAGGGGGATTAGGAGCAGAAGAGTGATTCACAGATGTAAAAGAGACAGATAGACACAATGGTAGAGAAAGGGGTAAGGTGAGGTGAGTACTGTAAGTGGTGGAATATGAAATACAGTGTCGTCATGATAGGTTGACATCAGAAGTCAACTACCGTTTTATAGACCTTTTTAGCGTATGAGTATACGTTGTCCAGGGTGCTCCACATGGAGGTAAGTCTATTGCGCATCTTTTCAAAGTTTTTAAACTCTTGAAATATGTTACTTCTAAAGAGTTAGAAATGTGGAATTTGGGTTTGCGGAGGTGTACTTAAAGGCATGATTTTGTTTTTTCCTAAAAATTTGAAAACATGACACTACAATTTCCTGCTGTGTTATAGCGCTTAATAGCTAGCTAAGGAATACCAGGAATCGTAGGTCTTTTCAATTGGCCACCTTTTCAACTCTGATGACTATCTTCCACGTCAGAATAATGTAGACGCACAAACTCAGTTGCTTTACAATGAGAATAAACCCGACCATTGTCAAAAGAGAAGCTAATTGTAACTAAATTTACACCAATTTAGTCAGCAATTGAGACCATTTTATAGGCTTTTACATCGATTTCCATAGTCCATAATTTAATGGTGGTATAATGTGTTAAAAGATGTAGGCGTATAGAAATATCATAGCAAAATACGTTATAATCAAAACGAGAACCCTAGAAGGTGAAAACAATGTCTTCCATTAAATTTATGCCTTTATAATATTCTACCAATTTATCACCACACCGACAGAAATAATCATTAACACGAAATTAAATTGGAACTAAAATGGCTTATCATGGTCAAACACACTAAAAGAATACCTTTTTCCTCTAAATAGAATTCAATAGGAAAATAAAATTTTGGAGTACTTAAGGGAATAATTATTGTAAATGATCTGGAGTTTGACAGGGATAGGAGAAATGGGCAAAAGACTTACATTCATGTGGTACAACCTGGGCAACGTATAATCATACGGCATTCATTCATTTCGAATAGCAGGCGTTTTGATAGTTACCATTAGCCCTTTACCTGACTTCGAGCTTCACAGAGGGAAGTAACATCAAAGTAACAGAAAGTCGAGGGGTGAGGAACAGAAGAGTGATTCATAGATGTAAAAGAGACAGATGCAAAAGCAGAGAAAAGGCAGGATGAGTAATGTGGAAGTCGTCGAATATAACAAAAAGTGGGGTCATGGTAGTTTGAAGTGAGAAGTCAACTGCCCGGTAATAGACTTTTTTGCCGTATGAGTATACGTTGCCCATAGTGCATGAGGTGGTGGTAGTTTGAAGTGAGAAGTCAACTGCCTTAGTCGAATATGACATACAGTGGGGTCAGAAGTCACTGCCATACAATGGGGTGATGGTAGTTTGAAGTCAGAAGTCAATAGCCATATTAATAGACTTTTTGCCGTATGAGTATACGTTGCCCAGGGCGTAGGTAATAGACTTTTTTGCCATATGAGTATACGTTGCCCAGGGCGCACAAATAGACTTTTTGCCGTATGAGTATACGTTGCCCAGGGTGAGACTTTTTTGCCGTATGAGTATACGTTGCCCAGGGTTCATCACGTGGAGGTAAGTCTATCGCACACCCCCAATCATACGACATAAAAGCCTTTAAACTGGCAGTGGGCTTTAAACTACCATGACCCAGTTGCGTCATATTCGACCACTGCCAAAGTGCTCACCTTACCCTATTCTCTACATCTGTGACTCACTCATAAGTCCCCCCCCTTTCGAATTTTTGTAACTTTGATGTCCCCCGCCCCAACTCTCTGTGAAGCCCGAAGTCAACTAAAGGGGTAATGACAACTATCATAAAGCCTCCCATTTAATACAACTAATTATGTCTCAGACCACCTGTATTGAAAAAATAGAGATGACACACAGGGATGTGTCACGCACTCAGAGTCAACCGCAAAGATGATCAATTTTTGCAGGCCCTAATTCATGATTGGATATGCTTGCCCTAAGTGGTCAGCTCAAGTGGATTAAATTGTGGTCGAAGTTCAAATCAAGTTCAAAATCAATTACTTAAACTTTGGGTCATTTGAAGACCGAGATTAGTATTGTTACTATTAAAATACTCAAATTACACTTTCCTAGTTGAAGGGTTATGAATATATGAACACATTTTTTCAAAGAGCAAATATGCAACATATTTTCGCACTTCCTTGGTATATTGTGACACCTCCGATAGAAAAATAATTTACTTAAATTTTACGCCTTTCATTACGAAACGGTTGAAGATTTTGTGTTAAAACAAAGCCTGTTTATTTGTAATCCATTCGTTTAGGGGATTAAGGCGTATGTGTGCATAGGCGAATGAACAAATGTTTGGGGTCCAATGATTCGAAAATAGTGGGAAAGTTTTCTTCTAATAGGAAAGCTAGTATGCACAATTTTGCGTTTTAAAATATCAATCTGAAAGAAATAAGCATACACACACACACACACACATTTTCTAACTTTTACATTCCTTACGAACACACACTTATCCAAGTTTTGCAAAAAAATAACAGCATAAAAACATAAAATAATGAAAAATTGGAACCTTAAAAAAGATAAAAAGTACATTGCCACGTTCAATTCATTATTTTTTAAATCGATAATAAATTGTACTCATTGTGCTAGAAATTGTGGAATTAAATGGGCAAAATAAGGGTTAAATGTTCCACAATTTAAAACTTTTCAACGTTGAATGGACTGAAAGTGGGACAATAGTTTTTTGCCCCAAAGATGTGGAAGTGGAATACTAATTGACCATTGACCTACTTTACTAGCAAAATATATGCCAAACATAATAAATTTTTGAAGGAATGTCCATTGATTTATCCATAATACGGTCATCGTCATTCGATCAAAAAAGGTCTGCCTA